GAATGGCGGCGCCTTGCTCGCAGGGGCGTCCCGGCCGAGGTGTCTGCTGCGCCCGCCGCGGCTTCCGCGCTGCCCTCCGAGTCCTTCTCGCTTCCTCTTCCCTTCTACCCACCCTTCCTCTCCGCTCTGCTCACTCTAGCCCTCCTCTTTTTCTCTTTCCCTCTCTCCACCCCTCTTACCCTCCCTTTTCCTTTCCCCTCCTCGGTCTCCACCCCTCACACGCTCCTCCCGGCTTCCTGCCATCTGGTTCTTTCTTTCTCGCCACCCTGGCGCCCCCTTTCCCCTCCGCGCCAGACTCCCAGCTCCGGTTCCTTCATCCTTGCAGCTGGGCGGGGCGTACGCACACCCCCTAGCCCTCCGCGGGCCTCCCGGCATCTCCGCCGCGCTCCGCTGGGCGAAGTTTGCCACATCTGGGGCCGCCCTGCCCGCCTTCCTCCCCGGCTCTAGTCCCGCCTCGGAAGGGAAGCTGGCTTCTTGAGCGCCCCCAGCCTCTGGCTGGGCCCCTTTCTACTTTCTTGTGTCGTAGCGCCCACTGGGACCTCCTGGCCCTTCCTTGGTGAGGGAGGAGAGCATTGCTGGTCTTGAATTGACATTCATTCTGACCTGGACATCCGGAATATCCTCCAAGCGCCCACCTCAAACTTACCCCGTCCAAAGCTGGACTCAGATTTTGTCTCGGAGTCTGTCGGTGTAAGGAACCATCACTGTCACTCGCCAAAGGTCTCACTGCCCCCCCCCCCCCACATTCCACAAGGCAAAGTCCTATCAGCCCCACTCCCTTTCATCCATCCCCTCATCATCATCCTCCCGTCTTGCCTAGATTAAAAATAAGCCACCTAACATGGCTAGGACACAAAGCTAGGTTGGAATGGCAGCAAAGCCGGTATGGTTGACCACTAGGCAAAACTGCCTGCAATCAAGCATGATGATGCTTTACACTGTTGTAATTGCGTTATCTCATTCAAGCCTCAAAACAACCCTGAAAGATACAATTACTTTCTTCATTTCACTGAGGAGGAAAAGAAAGCCTAAAGGGGTCAAGATCACGAAATCAGTAACTGCAAGAGGTCTCCGTCCTTCTCTCCCCGTAACCATCCAAGCTTTGTGTCGCTGCAGGCATATTTCTAAAACATCGACCTGGTTGTTTATTACACCGCTTTCCCCACTGACCACAGGATGGAATTCTATTCTCTTCTATGTGGCATATTTCACAATCTGGACCCCACCGACTTCCAACTTCCTGGTTTTCCATTTCCTTCCCTTACCCATGCCCCCACTCAACATGCCAACCCCACCAAACCTCTGACGTTTCCCAAGTAAGCCCAGAATGCCCTCCATTCCCAGATCGCAACATGGCTGGCAAACTCCTGCTTATCCTTCAATGCCCAGTTTAAATGCTCCTTCCCTTGGTCCAGCCTCCCAATCTGTTGATTGCCCACTCTCCCAGTCCCCCACTAGGGGCATCCCTCTGCAATCATTCTGAGTCTATTACATTGTAACCATTGGTTATCATGTCTTATCCATCTTTGTCCTTGCCTAGTGCATAGGAGACCCTCAGTAAATGTTAGTGGAGTAGGTGACTGAGTGGCTGCAGGAACAGCAAAGGAAAAGAGAGGCACCCTCTTACCCTGGGGACCGTGCATACACCAGACCCCCCAGCCTATGAATTCCCTCATCTCCTGCTGGTGGGATGAGTCCACTGGTCCCTGGCCTGACTGAGCAGATCCCTCTTCTAGTAGCCTGGCTCCCCTTGAGACGGGGAGTACTGTATGGCTTCTCTGGAGACTCACCCCACCTAAGGTGCCTAACAATTAAAAATAAAGTACATAGAAAGTTTTGAATATCTATCTTTAATGAACAAATGGTAATGTCTAACACCACATATTTATGTAAAGCAGCATGGCATAGAGGCTCCTAATGCAGGCTCTGGAGTCAGACTCCTTAGCTGTATGTCACTGCTTCACCACTCTCTATTGCCTGGTGGGGGAGGGTTACTTAACCTCTTCGTGCCTCAGTTTCCTCATCTGCAAAACTTTTTTATTCGACAAATAGATGTTGAGCACCTGTTAAGTGCCAGACACTGTTTTAGGGGATAGGGATACGTAATATATATGTGGTTATTATTAATTGAGTGCTTACTATATGCTAAGGAGCCCTGGTGATGCAACGGTTAAGTGCTCAGCTGCTAACCAAAAGCTGGCAGTTCAAACCATCCAGAGGTTCTGTGGGAGAGAAGACCCGGCGATCTGCTCCCACAGAGATACAGCCTAGAAAACCCTATGAGGCAGTTCTACTCTGCCACATGGGGTTGCTGGGAGTTGAAATCAACTACACACAACAAAAACTATACGCTAGACAGTATGATAAGCACTTAATATCCATCGTTCTACTTAACCTTACACCAGCCCTGTAAAACAATTGCTCTTACCTCTGATTTGCTGATGGGGAAACCAGGGTTAAGGAAGTTGACCATATTCACAGAGCCACTAGTGACAGCTTAAACGGGAACCCAGGTGTAGCTGACTCCACGCCCACATTCAAAGTACTTTCATATTACTTTCCCATATTTTATTCTCAGCGGCTGTGAGGTGAGAAAACAGGGACCCAGGAAAGTTAAGTGATTTGCCCTAAGAAATACAACCAGTTTCAGTTGGGACTGAAACCTAGATCTTCTGACCCCAATTTCAGGACTTTTCCTCAGTATCTCTTAGCAACCCCTGGGGAGACAGCGTCAGTGTCTGTCAGCAGGGTGCCAATCTTGAGTAGGGCTGGGTCTGGGACCAGCAGCAGGGGGCTGAATCTAGGTGCTGAACTAAAGACAGGATTACACCATATAAACCATTTCTGAGTGGGGCACCTAAGCCAACAAAACATTAAGGAGGGAAGAGAACTTCTAAAAAAGGCATCTGGCGACTTGAGGGTCAGGGCGCCCTCTGGTGGGCATAAACTTTGAGCTTCAGAAGCAGTCTTGCTCCTTACAAGGAAGCATACTGGAGTGGCTTTGGAGTGATATTTTTAGCCTCTGGAATCTGTAGACCTTCCAACGGCCAGTCCAGCAGACTCTCTGTAAAAGCATAACCATGCAGAAAGATCTTGATCCTGTCCAACTCAGCAAATACTATCTAAGCACCTGCTAGACGCAAACAGAATCGGGGTGGGGAATGCAGGAATGAAGAGGACCAATGCCTGCCTTCAAGGTGTTTGTACTCTACTTGTAGGGGAGGGATGGTTGTGGGCACAAAAGTGAGGTGTAAATGAGAGTTGTAAAGAAAACACAAAAGAGGAGAGAGTATGTGTGTGGTGCAGTGAATTACTTAATATGGCCCTTCTAGCCATAGTCTTTATAACTCCCACCGAATGATTGAGTGAGGTCTATGCAAATGAGATGCTTGTGGCCCACCAAGGGGATTGGATAGCTTGCTAATAATGTAAATAAGGTGCATGGCACCCTTGTGAAGGGTGAGACCATGCAAATAAGGTGTATGGAACCCTAAGAAGGGGATTGGTCAGTTTTGCCATCCATCTAGGCTTAAAATGAGCCATCCTAGAGGCAGAAAGGGGGACATCACTACCACCAAGAAGAGAGGGGAGTGGAGCTCATCCTTTGGACCCGGGATCCCTGCACTGAGAGCTTCCTAGACCCAGGAAGCAGAGAGAGGAGCTGTAATACAGAAGACAGAGAGAGGCAGCAGAGGCAGCAGAACCAGGACAGAGAGGGAGAGCTGTAACACCAGAAATGACGAGAAGTGGCAGGAGAGAAACGGCAGCAGCAGAGGCAGTAGACCTCTGGAGTAGCCCAGCTGGAGACCGGCAGGAGACAGCACAGTGGACTTCCCAGCCCACAGCGGGAGGGTTGCTGGCAGAGTAGAGTGTCTCCAGGCGCTTGATGGAGCTAGGTTTGCTGACCCACAGAGCTAGAGCTGAACGCCTTCGGCCAATGACTACTGATGGAGGGGGTGCCTCTGGTACTTATCAGCAGAGCTAAAAGAGCTTTGTAATGCTGCAACCTGGCAGGGCAGCGGCCAGGCGGAGGGGCCAAGGGCCAGAAAGAGACCTGCCTGCAGCACAGCTGAGAAGGCCTGTCCTGATAGAAGAAATGTATCCTAAGCATTCCTGAACCTGAACTGTAACCTGTTACTTCCCTAATAAACCCCATAACTATGACTATGGGCTATGAGTTCTGTATAGCCATTGCAAGGAATTATCAAACTTAGCAGAGTAGAGAATGCTGTGGGAGGGACAGTTGGTATCAGAATTGGTAAAAAGGTTGGAGAGAGGAGGCATGTCTGATTTCCACCTCATTGGAATCAGCCTTGGGCTGTTGATCTTGATTTTTCTTCCCCCTTGTGAAGTTAGAGGAGGAGGTCAGATGCCCCTGCCACTTCATTCTTACAGTGTTTAATGGGGGGAAGGGCAAGAAAAGCCTAAAGAAAGAGGTGTCATTCGAGGACTGACAGAAGTCAAGGGGGATCAGCATTTCCGGGAGAGGCAGTCCACCATGGGTCCCCAGTGTCCCTGGATGTTCTCACTGGGTATGCCAAGAATGTAAGGTCACCACCGCTCTTTACCCAGCCATTTCTCAGGGTTGTGTTTGCTGCAAACAACCTTGAGGGATGAGGCAACATCTCTCAGACAAAGCAGGTTTGCTTATTGCTTACTATGAAAGTGGTGGGGGAAAAAAAAAGTTGTGGGCTCCCCAAGCTCAGTGTTCCTTGGTTGGGGTGCAAACCCACTGCATAGGTAACATCTGCCTGGGCTCCTCTGTTCACCCCCATGAGACCTGGGGACAAGGGGAACAGATGTAACATGATGCTCTTGCTGCTTGCTGTGCCATGAGTAATAAAGTCCTTTGTCTCTGCTTGTTGCTGACTGCCATGGACTCAGATGCAGAAAGAGCCTG